ATTTCAGCTTAAAAGTTTTCCTCTCAGAAAGGTTTCCCTATCCACCATCCCTTCTCAACCTATCACCCAACATATCCGGCATTTGTCTTGTTTATTTGTCTCTACTCCATAGAATGTAAACTCCACAAAGGTAGAGATTTGTCTGTCTTCATCACCCTAGAGTCTTCACGTTTATTCTAATCCTGGCATGTGGCTGGTGCTTATGAAATGTTTGTTGAATGAATGAATGAATGGGTTGTTCGCTGATGATTCTATATCTGGCTAATCCTCAACCTTTCTGGTTATTAATCATTGTTTATGTTCTTTCTTCTCTACTCACACTCCTGTCTCCAACCTAAGAAGGATCTGTGTCTCTCATCTCTCTCTGGCGTGTTTCGTTCTTGCCATTTCCGGTGATCATTAGACAGCTGAGATGCGCATTGATATTGACCTCCCTCAGGGCAGTTTTTGTCCACAGCCAAGCCAGAAGTGGAAACTGGAATGTCACAGGATCCAGAAGGAGTAGAGGGAAGGGGGCCTTGTTGTTGTCGGTTCCTTAGTGGCCCCTTCATCTAAGTCCCCAGCCGCTGTGGGCAATTATGCCCCTGTATCCTGGTGGATATGAGGTTATGTTTTGTTTGTCTACAACAGGAATGGTGAGCTGGGGAGTAAAAGTGACTGCTAAGTCCCATGAAATGCATCTGGGCCCCATACAGCTGGAATCTTTGGAAGATTAGGATGTTGCATACAACCCGTCCTGTTCTCAGTTCGCTTCTGAGTAGCTTATGCCACACCTTCAAAGAGAAAATCTCACCTGCCCCATGCAAAAACATGGAACCCACCTTCCAAGCACATCATGAAGACCTCAGGAGCTTCTGTGTCCTCTTTTTGGCCACAGGGGTGGGATTCAATGGTCTCCAGGTCTCCTCTGAGGTGGAAACTGTCATTGAAAAAGGTTCTATCACCTGCCTCAGAGACAGCCAACACTGAGAGACAGGGCTCAGAGCAAAGAGCAGTGTGTATATTGAGTATTGATAGTCTATTCTGTTGACATACAGGAAGCCAGGGGAGCTGGAATCTCCCAGATCTGCCTCCCTGTCTGGAGGGCAGCCTGAGATTTTTAAGGGGGAAGAAAATCAGGGTTGTGAAACTTGTGGTCAGACATTGTTGTCTTCTTTTTCCATTTCAGTAGTTAAGATGGTATTTTGCTTTTTCCCAAGAAAGGAGTTGCTTCCTCATTAGGACCATGAGCTCTGTTTTAGAGATGAAAAAGTGATTAGTTTTGTAAATTAAAAAGTAGTGATTAATTATGGGGTTGTTGTTAAGTGCTGTTGACTTGGTCCTGACTCATAATGACCCTTATAGGGTTTTTGAGGAGCGGCTGGTGGGTTTGAACCAATGACCTTGTAGCTAACAGTCCAGTGCTTATCCTACAGTACCACATACACTAGGACTCCAGTTATGGGGTAGAGATTGGGCGGGAGTTCAATCTTTAACTATAGTTTTTACACTAAGATGGCTGTTCAGGTTCCAAGTTCCTTTGGCTAAACTAAAATCTTCTCAGGGCTCCCTATTCATCAACACCCCTGTTTTAATATGAGGGAGAACGTGGGACCCCTAGCTAAATTTGTTGTCCAGATCTACAACAACTAATGCTTACTATGTCCCATATACATTTCAGACTAAGTATGTCCTGCTATGGTTCTGTAAGGTAGACACTGGATTACTAATCACAAGGTCAACTGTTCAAACCCACCAGCCACGCCTTGGAAACCCTATACAGGGTCGCTATGAATCAGAACCGACTTGACAGCACTTAATAGCAACACATGTTACACAAGACATACATCTACTATGCAATACACAATAGCATACGGGCACTTCAAAAAGTTCATGAAAAAAACTCCATTATCTTTCAATTCCATTTTCCCATGAACTTTCTGAAACTCCCTCTTACAAGTATACTAAAAAAGTATTTACTGTTTATCTGAAATTCAGATCTGACAAGGTGCCCTGTATTTATCAGCCACCCTAGGGAGAAAGGACCAGCATTGAAAAGAAATTGCTTTTCTAGGGAGAAGCATTGGGACATGGAGAAACCAGAAGCCAGAGTTAGCGGTGGCTTTGGGAGGGGAGGGATGAAGCCGGTTCTTTCATGCCAATTAAGCAATCACAGACAATCCCATCAGAACTCCAGGCTTGTGATCATCATGGGACTCAAGACCAGAGGGGAAAACGTTAGGTTAAGAGGCAGGCAGAAGAGCCGTTTTCACACACAGCTGACCAGCCGATGCAAGGGCTCACACGAGGAAGGTAAGCACGCTGCCTGCTCACCCACAATTCATGGCTATCTTTTAGCAGGGTTGCGGGGATTCTGGTGGGTGGCCTCATCCTCTTGGGTTGCCTCCCTGAGGCTTGGTTGTAGCAGAATTTCTCCTCAATGTTTGAATTTCTCTGACTCCTGAGGACTTGCCAAGTCTCCCCCAGAATTCTTCTCAGCCCTCCTAGACTTCCGAGAAGAAGAGCAGAAACACTGGAAAAGCAGGTTCTCAGGGGGGAGAGGCAGCCTCCCCTGCTTTAGACGTGGTCTCCTGTCACTTAAAGGAATGAAATGCATTCGCTGTCCCCACATGGATGCCACAGGGGTAGTGGTGGGCAGTGGTAGAATTTGCACCTTCCATGCTGGAGGCTCAGGTTTGAATCCTGGCCAGTATTCCTCATGTGAAGCCACTGCCCATTTGTCAGTAGAAGCTTGTGTGTTGCTATGATGCTGAACACTTTCAACAAAATTTCCACACTAAGACAGACTAAGAAAAAAGGCCTGAAAATCAGCCAATGAAAGCCCAGTGGATCTGTGGGATGGCGCTGAGTCAGGCAGGCATATTTTGCTCCATTGTGTATAGGGTGGCCATGAGTTGACAAGACCGGTTGTCACAGCTCTGAGCTTGAAATATTCCACTCACAGCCACTGATTCCAACTCACAGTGAGCCTGCATGGGGTTTCCGACTCTGCAAATCATTAAGACAGCAGACAGCTTCATCTTTCTCCAGAGGTGCGACTGGTGGGTTTGAACTGCTAACCGATGTCAGCTGGCAGCCCAGTGTCTAACCACAGCGCCTCGAGGACTCCTTGAGCTTGAGATATGTGGTGGGTGCTGTATGCTGTTAAGTTGGTTTCGACTAATAGCAACCCTGGGTAGAGTTTCTGAGCGCTGTCGGTGAGTTTAAACTGCTGACCTTGTGGTTAGCAGTCCAATGTTTATCCTACAGTGCCATATCCGGGCTCAGATGGAGGCAAAAACTTACAAAAAGGATTTAGGTAGAATTAATTGAGTTCTGCATCAGTATTTTGAACACAGGGCTCACCCCTACATTACCCACCCGAAAAAGGAGAATTACAGATAAAACACCCACTGGAAAGGGTTTCATGTTGACCCTGCTCCGCTCTCCAGCGCCGGAGCTCATTCCTATCACCCTGTGGGGACCAGAACCCCAAAACCCACAGTAACAATGAGAGAGAAGAAAAGGGAAAGAATTTTCAATGACTGGTTTCAAAGAACACTTTTAATCATGATATTTCTGTTCATGAAAATTTTGTCCTTTGTGTGTGTGTGTTTTACTGTGTTTTATGTTATTAAACAATTTAAAAAGTTGTTTTTAAATACTAGTCATGAGACTTCAGGTTCCTGGTGACACAAAGGATTTGCTCTTGGTTATTGGCACTGCAGGTTAATGCGCTGGACTGCAAAGTCAGTATGAACCGCAGGGTCGGCAGTTCAAGCTCCCCAGCTGCTCCTCGGAAATCCTATACAGGGTCGCTATGGGTCAAAGCTGACTTGACAGCATTTAACAACAACAACAACAGCAACAGCTATCCTAAATATTGGCAGTTCAAAGCCACCCAGCAGCACCAAGAAAGCAAGACCTGGTGATCTGCTTCCCAAAAAGGCATTCCTGAGTCGGTTCCCACTCAGGAGTGTTTCTAGGACAGTAACTCTTTACAGGCGTACACACCCTCCCCTTCCTTCTGCGGGGTGGCTGCAGAAGTTAGAGGCCCAACAACTAACCCACAGTACCACTAGGGCACCTTCCATAAAAATTGTTAATGCCGTCAAGTCGGTTCTGACACATAGCAACCCTGTATAGGATTTCCGAGGAGCAGTTGGTAGGTTTGAACCACCAACCTTGTAGTTAGCAATCCAGTGCTCATCCTACAGTGCTACACCAGGACTCCAAATAAACACACACACATTATTGCATAATATATGTTGTTAAGTACGTCAAGTCATTTCCGGCCCATAGTGACCCTATGTACAACACAACGAAACACCACCCGCTTCTGGACCACGTCCACAATTGCTGCTACTCTTGAGGCCATTGTTGCTACAACTGTGCCAATCCATCTTGTTGGGGGAGTCTCTTTCTTTTGAGTGGACCCTCCACTTAACTGAGCATGATGTCCTTCTCCAGGTATTGGTCCCTCCTGATACTATGTCCAAAGTCTATGAGAGACGAAGTCTGGCCCTCCTGGTTTCTAAGGAGCTTTCTGGTTGTCCTTCCTCCAATACAGATGTGTTTGTTCTTATGACAGTCCATACTATATACTTACACTAAAATAAAATGCTTGTTGACCTTGGATGGCACAAATGGGTAAGAACTGGGCACACCCACTCAGAGGTGTCTCAGAAGAAGGGCCTGGAAAACTACTACTGACAGGTCACAGCCATGAAAACCCCATGAAGCAGCTCTACTCTGAACACACGGGGTCTCTGGGAGTTAGAACTGAATCCATGGCGATCGTTTGGATTTTGGGGGGCAGGGGAGCAGGAGGCGGTTACAAACCTGAACTCTTTCCAAAGCCCTTGATATTAAAAGCCTGAAAGAAGAAGGTATAAGCCGTCTCACAGTTGCTGTACTCCTGGAGAGAATGCAGCTGTGATTCTAAGGGGTGACGGGCAAGGACCCTCAGGTGCATCACATGATGCCACGTGTCCCTCCGCTAGGTGTCCTGACCCCACAGGATGCCGAAAGAAGATGCTCACCTCATCCGTGGTTACCCCAGGAAGGGATATGGACACGCCTCCATCACGGCTGAAGAGTAAGTTCCAAACAAGACCTGGTGGGGTGGGGGAGTTTCTCAGGGGTCATTTGCTGATGCAGGTTGCCAACCCACCTGTGCATGCCTGTCCGTAACCCTCCCTCGTGTTCTTCTCCCTCAAGAGTGAGCACCCCAACTACAGGGTGAGGAGGCCGTGTCCCACATGCAGTTCACTCAGGTTCTCTCGGGCACATCAAGCAAGGAACTAAGAAAGCAGAAAGCTGGACCCTGCTATGGGGTCTCTGGGTGGTGCAAACAGGTCATGTGTTCGGCTGCTAACTGAAAGTTTGAAGGTTTGAGTTCAGAGGCACCTTGGAAGAAAGTCCTGGTGATTGACTTCGAAAGACTTAGTCACTGAAAATCCTGTAGAGCACAGTTGGACTCTATCATGAGTGTGTGTGTTTGCTGGTGGGGTGGGGGGGAACACCATGAATCAAAATGGACTCCATGGTCCCTAACAGTAACAGCAATATGTGTTTATCACACAGATTTCACAGTTGATACCTTCTAGGAAGTTGTGGCGCTGTGGGTTAATGCACTGGACTTCAAAGTCAGTTTGAACTGCAAGGTCGGTGGTTCAAGCTCACCAGTTGCTTCTCAGAAGCTCTATATAGGAGAGTTCTGGTAGCATAGTGGTTACAAATCGGGCTGCGAACCTCAAGGTCTGCGGTTCAAAACTACCAGTTGTTCTGTGGGAGGCAGATGAGGCTTTCTGCTCCCGTAAAGATTTACAGCCTCAGAAACCCTGTACAGGGTCTCTATGAGTTGGAACTGACTCCGCGGCACATAACCATCAACCATAGGTGGAACCAACTCGACAACACTTAACAACAATAACAACAAGGAAACTGGACAATGACTAAGAAAGACCGTAGAAGAATTGATGCATTTGAATTATGATGTTGGAGAAGAATATTGAAGATACCATGGACTGCCAAAGGAGCAAACAACTCTAGTTGGAAGAATTACAACCAGGATTCTCCTTACATCCAAGATGGCCGGATTCAAGATGGCCAGATTTCATCTCTCATACTGTGGCCATATTATAAGGAGGGACCAGTCCCTGGAGAAGGACATCATTCTTGATAAAGTGGAGGGTCAATGAAAAGAGGGAGACCCCCAATGAGATGGGCTGACACAGTGGCAGCGCCAATGGGCTCCATCACAGTAGTGATTGTGAGGATGCCACAGGACTGGGCAGGGCTTTGTTCTGTTGTACCCAGGCTCACTATGGGTCGGAACCTACTTGGTGGCACCTAACAGCAGCAACAACAACCTTCTCGGAGCCCTAGTGGTGCAGTGGGCAAGCAGTCAACTGCTAACTGAAAGGTCAGTAGTTCAAACCCACCAGCAGCTCCAAGGGAGAAAGATGTGGAAGTTTGCTCTCATAGAGACTACTGCCTTGGAAATGCTATGGGACGCTCTACTCTGTCTTACACGGTCACTGCAAGTTGGAACTGGCGTGATGACAGTGGTTTTAAATTATGACTATTTGTCTGGAGTTCCTACAAACAGTTATTGTACTTAGTTGCTAACTGAAAGGCTGGAGGTTCGAGTCTGTGCAGAGGTACCTCAGAAGAAAGGTCTGGCAACCTACAGTGGAAAAATCAGCCACTGGAAAAACACATGGGGTCACTAGGGGTTAGAATCAACTTGATGGGAACTGTTTGTCACCACTACTGGGGCTGGACCTTAGATTCGCAGGCTGGAAGCCACCCAAGTTTGGGTTGTGTTTGTGGGTTTATATACCTCTTTCTTGGGTCTTTAAGGAGTACGGGTGGTGCTGTGGTGCTGGTTGTGTGCTGTGGAGTCGGTTCCGACTCATAGTGACCCTGCACAGGGTTTCCAAGGCTGTAAATCTTTACGGGAGCTGAAAGCCTCATCTTTCTCTCAGGGAACAGCTGGTAGTTTCGAACTGCTGACCCTGAGGTTAGCAGCCCGATTCATAACCACCATTCTACCAGAGCTCCTTATGGGTGGCACTGTAGGATAAGCTAATCACTAGGTCAGCAGCTCAAACCCACCAGCTGCTCCCTTATAAGGAAGATGAGGTTGTCTGCTCCCGTAAAGACTGGCGGCCTTGGAAACCCTACACAGGGTCCCTAGGAGTTGGAACCGATTCCCTGGCAGCTGGTTTGGATTTGGGTTTTCTCTCAGTCCGTAGAAACACCCCAGCTCTTAGACTCCTGAAGTGGTCTCAGAGCTGCTGAGAATGCAGGTCAGAGGTGTGCACCTTCACCTGCAAACTCAGTACTGGGTGATGATGGGACATCATTTCTGGGCTGCAGCCTTAACCTAAGACAAGGCGTTGTGTATTATGATAGATGAAAATAAGTATTTACTACGGAGTCATGGTGTGGCACAATAGGATAAGTACTGGACTACTAGCTGCAAGGTTGGCAGTTCAAACCCACCAGATGCTCCTTGGAAACCTTATACAGGGTCACTATGAGTTGGAACCTTCTCCACAGCACTTAACAACAACAACTAGTCTTCTAGGGGATTCTTGGTGTGGCACAATAGGATAAGTACTGGACTGCTAACTGCAAGGTCGGCAGTTCAAACTCACCAGCCCCTCCTTAGAAACCTTATACAGGGTTGCTTTGAGTTGGGGCCAACTTGATGGTACTTAACAAAACAATACATACGATTAGCCATGTATACGCGAAGGAGAGCTCTGGTGGTGCTGTAGAATAAGCACTGGACTGCTAATCACAAGGTTGGACAGTTCAAACCCACCCACTGCTCCAAAGGAGAAAGATGAGGCTATCCGCTTCTGTAAAGATTCCGTCTCGAAAGCCCTGAAGGGCAGCTGTGCTCTGTCCTCTGGGGTCACTGTGGATTGGAATTGACTTGGTGGCAGTGGATTTGGAAATGTTTGGGAACAGCATCATGGGAACAGAGAGCGGGAAGGCACCCTGGGTGTGCGGCGGGAATGGAAGGGGTAGGGGGGCATTCTCTCAGTTGGGTTCCAACAGGACGAACAAAAAACTGAAATTTCATTTGAACCACCATTTATGGTATCCGCTGCATAAAGTTCATCTGAGATAATATTTGAGGAAGAGTTCTTCCAAAAGTGAAGTCAACCCTTTCATGCTGTTGTTCGGATTTCAACGGTTTGTCCTCCCCAACTATGTCCAAAGAAAGGTGATCCAACAGAATGTGGAATTTATTGAACAACATCATTCATATCTCATGCAAGGAAAGATTTACTGAAGACAATTCAAAACAGGTTTCAGCAGTAATGGACAAGGAGCTGCCAGAAATTCAAGCTGGATTTTGATGCGGATGCTGATGTCAGACGGATCTTGGCTGAAAACAAAGAATACCAGAAAGATATTTACCTGCATTTTATTGACTAGCCAAGAATGGGGACCCTTTTTTTCTGCCAAAAATTATAACAACATTTACAGGCCATAAAAAATTATCAACTTAAAAATTAGCTGCTATGTGTGGAGTCCTGTTGTGGCGTTTTGGGTTAATGCGCTGGACTGCAAAGTCAATTGGATCTACAAGGTTGGCAGTTCAAGTTCACCAGCTGCTCCTTGGAAACCCTATACAGAGTTGCTATGGTTTGAAACCGACTCAACAGCACTTAACAACAACCACAAATGTGTGGTCAAATGTTTAATTAACTCACCCTTAATGTGATGGCTGGAACTGTGGTTTCTTTGGCAGGACCAGACAAAATGATTCAATGGGCTTCATAAAGCCCTTGGGCCAGACGTTCCCCACCCTAGAAAGGCATTCGAATATGGTGGATCATAACAAGTAAAGGTAACATTGTGAGAGATGAGAATTTCAGAACACATTATTGTGCTTATGTGGAACCTGTACACAGACCAAGAGGCAGTCGTACGAACAGAACCAGACGGTGTTTAGTCCTGTTGTACACAGAGTCACGATGAGCCAGGAATGACTCAATGACACCTAACAACAGAACAACAATATGAAACAGAGACATTTGACCACACGAGCATTTCAGTTGTGATGGACCCTTCTGGTGTGGTTACTAGTTGTTCATGAAATAAAACTTGTGTTTAGACGGTTGTACAGACCAAGCAAGAATGCCCACCTACCCTCATCTTCTTGGGTTATCTGGGGGTAGAGGGACTGGATGGCCTTCCCAAGGTGCCTCTGTCCTGAGAGTCTGTGATTCTAGACAGAGAAGGGCAGAGACATGTAGGTAACCAGGAGATCTGTTAGGCTAAGTGTCTCCATACAGACTCAAGGCCTGAGTCAGTGCCAGGGACTAAATTGTGTGCCCTCAAAGTTACTCAGAAGTCCATACCTGTAAATACACCTGAGCCAGTGCCAGGGACTGAATTGTGTGCCCTCAAAGTTACTCAGAAGTCCATACCTGTAAATACACCTGAGCCAGTGCCAGGGACTGAATTGTGTGCCCTCAAAGTTACTCAGAAGTCCATACCTGTAAATACACCTGAGCCATCCCTCCAAAGTTGTCCAGTGATTTGAGGTTGGCTCAGGCTCTGTTGTGCATAATATCGCTGAGTTGGTGCCGATTCAACAGCAACTAACAACAACAAAGCTATTCACAAGTTCATGCCTGTAAATACGGCCCTGTTTGGAAACAGAGGTTTTGTTGGGTGGTGTGAACTGCCATGCAGCGGTCACCATTAGGTTCACACTGTCCACACTGTTGTGTGAAGTCCACCTTATGCATCATCTAGAACAGTGTTTCTGTGCCAAGTTGGTTTTGTCTGTTTCTTGCCAGGGCCGCAGGGATTGGCATCCTGATTGTGATTTTGGGAATCTTATTGCTCCTGAGTTGCTGGTATTGTAGACGACGAATCGGATACAGGACTGTGCAGGTGGGTGTCCTTCTCACTGTGTGTGTGTGTGCGGGGGGGATGAGAGCCCTCCATACCCAGGAGCCCCTTCCCACTTCTGAGAAGTTCTGAGAGCTGGCAGACCACTCAGGAGCCCTGCATGTGCAGCCATTAGCGTTTGGCTGCTAACCAGAAAGTTGGTGGCGATAACTTACCAGATGCTCCACAGGATAAATGGGTGCTACTTAGTGATGTGGCAATCTACTTCTGTAATGATCACTGCCTTGGAAACCTTCTGGGAGATTTTGCTTTGTCCTGTATAGGATTGTTAGGGATGGCTGTAGGATAAGCAAACCACAAGGTCGGTGGTTCAAGCCCACCAACCGCTCTGCTGGAGAAAGATGAGGCTTTCTGCTCCTGCAAAGATGTACAGCCTTGGAAACCCGGTACAGGGTCACTATGAGTTGGAATCGTGTTAGCAGCACACCGTCACCACCATCTAGGGTCACTGAGTCTGAAGGGACTTGATGGCAGTGGTTTGGATGACGTATCAAGGGTGGTAACAGGGAGAGTCGCCCCAAGTGCTGGCCAGAAGGTGGCAACTTGTCTGCAGAGCAGCTGCGACCACAGCATCATGGATTTGTTAGAAATGTAGACTGTTGTATCTCACCCCAGTCTCACTGCATCAGAGATGGAGGAAGAGACCCCGCAATCTGTGCTTAACAATCCCTCCCCGTGATGCTGAAGTTTGAGTGCCACTGCTGGGGGGGGTGGTCTTGAAGGGTGCCAATGTTCAAGGCTCAATTAGTAGGTGGAAGGTTGACGATTCAAACCCACCTTTGAAGGCAAGCCTAGCGAACTGTGATTGAGGGCAACAATCAGCTTTAGCTGTGAAGAATGCAAAATGAAAATAAAAGCAACTAGAAACCTTTGTTATCACCGAGTGCCATCAACTCTAAGCCAAGTCAGGGTCCCGTCCTGACTCTCTGTTATTCTGGCCTAGGGATGGGGGTGGGTGGGTCATCACTCTTAGGCTATGCAAGCACCAAACCAAGCTTTCAGCCCTGCTTCCCTCGTTAGTCCTGGGCAGTACTTACCTTATAAACCAAGGTCAGCTGCCATTAAACCAACTCCAAATTCCTGGTAACCCCGTGTGTATGAGAGGAGAACTGTGCCCCCCCAGGAAAGACCACCAGGCTTTTCTTCCTAAGTGCATGTTAGCCGTGTGTAACACTCGGGGGCTCCAACTTAGATTTATCATCATGGCTGCAACTTGAGTTGCAAGTTCAGAGCTACCACAGTGTTCCTATCAAGAGATACGCACAAACTATTAGGAATGTTTAAGGTGTTCTGCTGTCATTATGTTGTTGTTAAGTGCCATCAAGTTGGTTCTGACCCATAGAGACCCTGTACAGGGTTTCCAGGGCTGTAAATCTTTACAGGGGCAGAAAGCCTCATCTTTCTCCCGTGGAGTGGCTGGTAGTTTCGAACTGCTGACCGTAAGGTTCGCAGCCCAATTCGTAACCACTACGCTACCAGAGCTCCTTTATGGGAGGAAAGAAATAGCATGTCCCCGCAGTCAAGGAGCTCCCAAGTCTCCGTTGTGATATTGGCTCTACTCTTGCCTTTCTGGTTCCATTCCACTCTCCTTGCATTTTAGTTTCTGAGGTTCATCTTTTGATTCACTCTTTCCCTTCAAAAACTTCTTTTGTCTAACAAGTGGGTACCAGGTGCTCACCTGTAGTGCATCCTCACAACTCACAGAAGCAGGTGGTATTATCTTCATACGACAAGGCAAAACCTGAAGCTCAGAGAGGTAAAGTGACTAGACTGAAGATGCACAGCTAGTAGGTGGTAGGACAAAGAACCTGTTCTTCGGACTTGGACTCCATGATGTCGTCTCATCCAGTGACCCCCATGCCTTCATGTTTCAGGGCAAAAGCCTTCATCCTGGTACCCAGAACACCCTGAGGAAAGGACACCCATACAAGGAGCTTGCTCATCAGGAAAGCAAACTACATCTCAAGGATGTTGTCTATGGACCTGTGGTAAGTTGGGATCCTGTGTCTTGGTAATTCTGTGTATGGCCACTTTTAATGCAAGTGAATAAAAGCATCTCTGTTAGAACAAATAAACAAGGGATACAGAGAGATTTTCATAAAGTGTCTTCTCATGCCCAGATTTCCCATGGTGCATAGTGGGAGTCTTACATATACCAGTCCAAAGACAGAACGCGGTTCTCGATAGAATACACTTTTGTTTTATGTTTCCAGAACATTTGTCTTTTTCCTGAATTATATCTGAGTGAAGGAAAGAAAGTGCTCATTCTAAATTGCACGGAACCAGGCTGTGTGGTACAGCAACACCTGCCACCTACAACATTTGAAATAGAGGTCTTGTTGTTGTGAAGTGCCGTCGAGTCAGTTCTGACTCGTAGCAATCCTGTATAGGGTTTCCAAGGAGTGGCTGGTGAGCTTGAACTGCCAACCTTGTGGTTCAAACTGACTTTGCAGCCCAGCGCATGTCTGATATAAGATGTGCTGTAATAGGTACCAAGGCCCACAGGTAGTGCAGATGGGTCACTCTGGACTATTGATCTAAAGGTTGGTGGTTAGCCCATACCTGGTAGTTCTGCAGAAGAAAGCCCTACCCTAGCTATCTACTTTCATAAAGATTCCAGCCAAGAAAACCCTATGGGGCCCAGTTCTACCCTGTAACACACGGGGGCGCTATGAGTCAGCATTGATTGGAAGGTAATCAGTTAGTTTTTCTGGTTTTTGTAGTATCAGAAACCTTATGTAGGGTCGTTATGGGTCGGAACCGACTCAACGGCACTTAACAAGAGTATGAGAAAAAATAATATAAATAGCTGATGAATGATTTTTTAAAACTATTTATTAAAATGTTGAAATGATATTTTGTTATGAATTAAATATTAAAACTAATATCACTGTTTATTTTTGTAATGTGGCTTATTGGGAAATTTAAAGTTACATATGTGGTTGGCCTGATACAGTGTTTCTATTGGACAGCACTGGTACCCATGGGGGGTGGGGGGCTTCAGAAAGCTCATGGTAAAATGCCAGTATCTTTTCATTCTGTTTTCCCACTAACTCTGTGAGGTCCACTCGTGGATGTGCGTACACTGACTCTGTTTGAGTCTAGGCTCCACCACTTAGTAGCTGTGTGACCTTAGACAAGAGACTTGACCTCTCTGTGCTGCAGTTTCCTTATCTGTAACATGGAAACATTGAAAATATCTTCCGGAATTGCTGTGAGCATTATGAGGGGTCTATAAAAAGTGTGTGTAAAAATTCCATTATCTTTCAGTTCTACTTTTCCATGAACCTTCTGAAGCTCCTTTCAGTGTGCTCAGCAGATCTATCAGCAGGTAACATAGTACCATTCACCAGTGCTGCCACATCTCTGGTCTACAGATCTGGAGAGATGAAACACATATTAGTGTCTGTAAGCACTGATGTAGCGCTGTGGGCTAATACGCCAGACTGCAAAATCATTTGAACTGCAAGGTCGGTGGTTCAAGCTCACTAGCTACTCCTTGGAAACCCTATACAGGGTCGCTATGGGTCAGAACTGACTCAATGGCACTTCACAACAACAAGCATTGTGTGATAATTGAGGTTTTGTGTAAAGTTGGCTGGATCTGGGTTCCCAGTGGTTTGACAGTTAAGACGGAAGGACTCCTGTTATAGTGTTGTAAATTAAGCACCAGACTGCTAATCCCAAGGTTGGCAGTTCAAACTCACCAGCAGCTCCTTGGAAACCCTATACAGAGTTGTTATGAGTCAGAACCGACTTGACGACACTAAGAGCAGCAATAATCCCCATGATGAGACCTAATAGAATGTAATCACTAACCATAATGACATCTGAAATGAGCAGCCAATCAACTGAAAGGAAGTTTATTTGGGGGTGTGGCCTGCAACACCTTTTATTTTACAAGATTTAAAAGGGAGAGAGATGGGAGCAAAGAAGGAGGGCAACTACTAACTCCGAGAAAGAAGAGCCAGAAGTGGAGTGTGTCCCTGATCCAGGGACATCCGAGACGCATGGAGAGCTCCAAGGAATGCTGGGCTTACTGATGCTGAAAGGAGACCAGGACTTGTCCATGGAGCGACAGAGAAAGGGAAAGCCTTTCCCAAGAGCCGGTCCTCTGAATTTGGACCTCTGGCCTCCTAAACTGTGGGAGAATCCATTTCTGTTTAAGTGTCCACCCCCCCGTGTGGTGTTTCTGTTATAGCAGTACTAGTGAACTCAGAAAGGAGCTCTGGTAGCATGGTGATTACGAGTCGGGCTGCGAACCTCAAGGCCAGCAGTTGGAAACTACCAGTTGTTTTCACAGGAGAAAGATGAGGCTTTCTGCTCCAGTAAAGATTTACAGCCTTGGAAACCCTATGCAGGGCTGCTATGAGTTGGAACTGACTCCTCCACAGCACACCACCACCACCATGGAATCCTGGTGTAATGCTGTAGGATAAGCACTAGACTGTGAACCACAAGGTCAGTGGTTCAAACTCAGCAGCTGTTCCTTGGAAACCCTATGCAGGGTCACTATGGGTTGGAACTGACTCCTCAACAACAATGAACTAAGACACAGGGTAAAATATTCATGATTAGGGTTTAGTGCTTCTACTGACAAAGCAAACCAGGCATAACTCAGCTGGGGTTTTTTGGAGATTTGGAAACTCCCCAAACTCTATTTGTCTCTATCCTTCCCGCAATAATGTTTCAACATACCCACTTGCGAAATGTTAACTCCTACTACTTGGGCATCAGTCCCTCGGTGACACAAATAGTGTGCTAGACCACTAGCCAAAGGTGGGTGGTTCAAACTCACTGAGTGGTGCCACGGAAGAATGGCGTGGCAATCTGTTTCTAAAGGTTAGTTTTGAAAATTCTATGGAGCACAGTTATACTCTGTACTCACGAGATGGTCATGAGTCAGGATCTACTGGACAGCAATTTACAATGACTGAACTGGACAGAAGTTAGACGTGAACACTTAGAAGTGTCTGTCAACAGCAGCTGTATGTGTATAGAGTGAATTACTTTGCCTTGTCTCCTCCCCCAGTAACGAATGTCCTATGGCCTAGCCCTGTTCTCTTTTATTCTCCCAGGTCCCCAATGCTCCACACACCTATGAGAAACACTTTGTACAACAATCACCACCGCCTTATTCACCCTGAGAGCCAGAGACGCCGACACGGTGCCCTTGAACGCTTCTGCTCAAGACGACTAATGTTCTGCACTTGAAGTCACGTCGAGTTCTTAGGAGATGAATGAGCAGTACTAATCAAGTGAGGCAGTGATGAGAAATATTAATATGGGGAAAACTTGATCAATAAACCTTGTAAGAACACAGGAATAGTCTCTGTCAGTAGTAATGGCTCATAAATCTATAGACTCTTTGTTGTTGTTATTAGATGCTGTGAAGTTGGTACTAACTCATATCAACCCTATGCACAACAGAACAAAACAGTGTCTGGTCCTGTGCCAACCTACGCTTGATCCCACTGTGGCTGCCACTGTGCCAATCGATCACGTTGCGGGTCTTCTTCCTTTTCACTGTTCCTCCACTTGTACCAAGCATGATGTCCTTCTCTATGTCTGCACTATGAAAGATGAAGTCTGGCCATCCTGGTTTCTAAGGAGCACTCTGGCTGGACTACTTCTAACACAGATTTGTTTGTTCTTCTGGCAGTCCATGGTACTTTGAATATTCTTCTTCACCACTGTAACTCAAACTCATCAGTATTTGTACGTGCTTCCTTATTCATGGGTCCCTGGGTGGCACGAATGATTCGGCACTCAACGATTAGTTGAAAGTTTGGCAGTGGGAACCCACCGGAGGCGCCTCAGAGGGCAGGCTTGGTGATCTGCTTCCACACGGGGGCTCTAAGTCAGAACCTAGAACCACTACCACCATCACCACCAATGTCTGGGAGGAGAGATTTACAACAATAAAGATTATTGATACTCATATGTTGTTGTGAAGTGCCACTGAGTCGGTTCTGACCCATAGCAACCCTGTGTAGGGTTTCTGAGGAGCAGCTGGTGGGCTTGAACCACCATACCAGGATTCCTGATACTCATATGGGAATTGTTATAAGAACCCTGTAAAATTAACAATATGGGAGGGTGGGGGTGGGGAGGGGGGAGGAGTTCAAAAAATTTATGAGAAAATTCCATTATCTTTTCATTCCATTTTTCCATGAAGTTTTTGAAGCCCTCTCGCATCTGTCCCCATACATTTTAACTTAAAAGAAACAATACAAAACATTCACATACACACAAAGCTACCTCCAACTAAACACTTTTACAATTAGTTTAGTACTAACCTCAGGCTGATGTAGGAATTTATACTCATAATTCTTTTTACCCTTCAGATTTTGTGTGATCAATTTTCAGACGGAAAGTACTGGTAGAATTCATCATCATCGTCTTCAGTGGTAGGTGCATACATTTGTATAGTGGTATTAACTTGGTCTTCCTTATTGTTATTTTTGTTATGTGCCGTCGAGTTGGTTCTGGCCCATAGTGACCCTTATAGGGTTTCCGAGGAGTGGTTATTGAATTTGAACTGCTGACCTTACAGTCCAGTGCAGTATCCCACCGGTATTATCCTACCACAGACACGATTGTACTTCACGATAGATTTTGAAATGTACTTTTTGACGAGAATATGCCATTCCTCTTAAATTTGTTGTTCCTGGCATAGTAAGCTGTACGATTGTCCAATTCCAAATGGCCAATACCAGTTAATTCCAGCTCACCAATACTTAGCATGGAGTCCTGTGTAACTGTAGGATAAGCACCGGACTGTTAACCATAAGCTCAGTAGTACAAACCCACCAGCCGCTGCTTGGAAACCGTATCCGGGTTTGCTATGAGTCAGAACTGACTCAGTGATAACGAACAACAGTAACACTGCCTAGGATATCAACTTTCATGCATTTTATTTTTCATGATTTCCAATTTTTCTAGATTCATACTTCGTACATTGAACGTTTTGATTATGAGTGGATTATCTGAAGCTGTTTCTTCTCATTTTGAGTTGCACCCCATCAGCAAACAAAGGTCCTGAAAATTTTGCTCCATTCTCGCCATCAAGGTCTACTCTTACTTTGAGGAGGCAGCTCTTCCTCAGTTGTATTTTGAGATTTTCCAACGTGAGAGGCTCATCTTCGGGCACTGTATCTGACAGTGTTCTGCTTCTGTTTATAAGACTTTCAGTGGTTCATCATTCGGAATTGGTTAGTCTGGAGGCTCTGCTGAAACCTCTCCACCGTGGGTGACCCTGCTGGAATTTAAAATACCGATGGCATAGCTTCCAGCCTCACAGCAAACAAGCAGGCCACCACAGTACAACAAACTGACAGACGAGTGGTGGTCACTACAGATTAGTAAACCCAAGTAAATTCATGATTACTTACTTCATCTCTGCCCAAATCCATTGCCATCAAGGCAATTTTGACTCCTAGCAAGCCCGTAGGGCAGTATACAATTGTTACGTATGCTTTCTAAGACAGCAAACCTTTACAGGACCAGATAGCCTCCCTCTCTTGTGGAGCAGTTGGTGGGTTTGAACCATCAACCTTACGATTATGTACTGCAACCATGAAGGCTCTTGTGAAGCATGACAGCAGCTACAGTTTACCAAACCCCTCCTGTGTGGTTAGGTATTGGGCAACTTGACATCCGTTATCTCCCATAACCCTCAGTGAGGAGTCTCGTTAGCTCTGCTTTCTGAGGGTGCTATCACTTTTGCTTCAAAAGCTTCAGTACCTCCCCAAGTGCTTTTGGGAAATTTGTGTATCCCTGCCCACTCACCCACTGCCATCACGTCAATTCCGTCTCATAGCAACCTGTGTTTAGTTGTAAATCTTTACTGGAGTAGACAGACTCTCTCACTGAGCAGAAAACCCACAGGAAATGAGAAAAGAGGAAGTACCACCGCGTAGGGTGTTAATACGGCATGCTCGAACATTTACGATGACGAGCACAGCCAGCCAGATGACCCAGTTCCTCAGGTAGCAATGTGAGGATGCTCCCCCCACAACTGCAAGGGGTTGGCTGAGGTAGGGCCAGCAGGATGTGAGGTGGGATGGAATGAAAAGCCAGTTGTGCTGGAATGTGAAGACTGAAAGAGAAGAACATACGGAAAGGGGATTCGAACTCTCTAGGCACTTTTAAGAGAACTCAGTGACCAGAGGTGAGTAGGTTGTTGTTGTTGTTAAGTGCCGTTGAGTCGGTTCCGACCCATAGGGACCCTGTACAGGGTTTCTGAGGCTGTAAATCTTTACAGGAGCAGAACGCCTCATCTTTCTCCCGCGGAGCGCCTGGTGGTTTCGAACTGCTGGCCTTAAGGTTCGCAGCCCGATTCGTAACCACTACGCTACCAGAGCTCCTTGAGGTGAGTAGGTAGAAATGCCAAATGATGTTAGACTTCACCATCAGTGAAGTCAAGACGTGGGTTTTGGAGTTGGAAGAGGTTTAGTGGCTCGTTAGTTTAGATCTGACCCTGAAATTCAAGTCAGGGCACAGGTATTTCAGGAAATCGGTATCTGGACGTGGCTCTGACGATTAAGCAGTTCTGTCTGAAAAGCGGAACATAGATGTTCATGAACCGAGCACCGCTTGTGTACAACATACTTCACACGTCACCTTTCTGAAAGCTAAGGTCTCTCTACAGACAGGGGAAGTGGGAGGGTGACTATGCAGGGCACAGCCGGGATTGGCAAAGGGGTCGTCTGAGAGGAGCGAGGTTTTTTGAGAGCCTTTAGCAGCTTTCTAGGCAAACCCTCGCTCCATTCTCCACTTGATAGGTGTCTATATGGTATCAAAGTCTTCAGGTCCGCTCTTCAGTACTATTGTCAACTGCAGACAGCAACTCGGAGTGATGATGTTGAACAGCGTTTATCCATGGACTGTGGAAGGGGATGCAAGCAGCAGCTCCAGTAAGATCGAGGGCTTGACGAGTCGATAAACAGAGAAGCTCGCATTGACTAGAATGGGGCATAGTCTAAATACTGCTAGAAAGTCAAACCCTGACATCAGTGGGCCCATACAGTTTGCTTTTAGGGAATTTAAAGAATTCCTCTGGGTTTAAAAAACAAAAAAGCAAATGGAAAACACTTCATAATGAACTTAAGGTACCTACATTCACGTTTTATTCTGAATTAAAAAAAGAAAAAACAAAAAAACTCACATTTTTAGAACATTTGGATAATCGGCCATTATGAAGCAATGCCTCAGTTTTTAAAAAATTTCGGGAAAATTGGGTCAAGAGTATACAAAGGCTTCTCTGCCTGATCAGTATCTTTGTAATTTCCTATAAATTTAAAATTATTTAAAAATAAAAGGCCATAAAAAAGTTTATCTGGGCTATATAAACAAATATTAATCAATCACATTCACCTGAAGAAAGATCACTTATTTCAGTCAGCATTTGGTGGGTGCATGAAAAGGGAAATGTGAAAACGATGAACTCTCCGGTGCAATTTTATAACAGAAGGTGGTAGTGAAGCGCTGCTGAGTCCACTTCAACTCTGCAGGAGCGGGAGGCCTCATCATTCAGTCAGAGACGCTCTGGGCTCGAACCACCGACTCCACGGTTCACAGTTCTGTGCTTATCCCACAGAGCCACGGGGAAAGGATTAAATAGAGAAGCTAAGGAGCAGCTTATTTTAGTCACCACCTAGGGCTCTCTCTCAGGAGTACTATGAGAATCAGGTGAAAGGGCAAGTGTGAACTCTCTAATGTCCTCTACAAATACGCGTTTTCGTTGTTAATGCCATCAAGTCGGTTCTGACTCACAGCAACCCTGTATAGGGCGTCCAAGGAGGATGGTGATTTTGAGTCACCGACCTTGTGGTTCAAGGCGACCTTTCAGTCTAGTGCTTATTCCACAGTGGCACCCCAGGATCCCCTAGCTATTCTTAATCCAAATTGCTCAGCTTCAATTCCTTTTTGTAAAGAACCGGCCTTCCTTTATACTACACATTCTTTCCACACATCTTAAAAATGGCATTCAGACAAAGAAATACAGCAACTCAGTTTATTACATGCAGACTCTTCTGCATTGTTGCCAACAGTTCACTGGTCCAAAATTACTAAAATACTTAAAAAACTATACATTATGTAAACAAAACATAAATAAGACAGCATAGTTCTTTGTACATATAGTTTAGTACAGGTTGTTAGGGATTTAGGAATATGTACAATTTTACACCATGGACTGCATTTTCACAATGCATAAATATATATATATATGTATATATATATATGTATATTTTTACAGAAACAAAAATAAGATTTCACATAATGACACAATACATCGCATAGATCTGCTACAATAGTCCAAATTCAAGAAGGAACATGTCAATGCAAGTGTGCAAAAGGCGAGCTTCCTCTCAACTAGGCAAACTTGACTCTGCGCAATGCATGTTGTACAGACAGGCACATCTCAACTGCCTACATACCACTGAGTGAAATGGAACAGACTTTTCCCTCCCCAAGCAAACAAAATTTTGTCGTCGCAAGCTAATGAAAAGGATACATTTAAAAAAAAACACAACCATGAATAATGTTTTCAACAATATAACAAAGTTAAAATTCTTTTGGGATTCAAAACAATGCCCCGTTAGTTTAAAACTGGCTCGTTTCGTCTAACTTTAAGATGCAGCGGTGTCGGGCTTTTCTAAGCCAGACGACGGAAACGTGGGGAAGACAGAGGCAGGTCTCCGACTGGCAGATACAATTTGAGAGAGCGATGGAGAGAGTGAAGAAACTTTAGAAGGTGGAGTATTTATGGTATTTAAAATGGCTCCTTCCGGGCTGACCAACAGTTTCTTGACAGATGTGTCCAGATGAAGCACTGAAGTGTTACTTGGCAGTGGAGGATTACTAGAGCAAATGGTCGAAACCAAGGATGTTTTTGCCAGATTAGCTGGAGGAGACTTCATTACTGACGTTGGTGCCACCGCTGGTGCCGTAAGTGGGACAGACACTTTAGCGGTTGTGTTCACAATTTGTGGTGCTGCATGTACCATGGGTGGAGGACTTGTATTCCCAAGAGCGCTGACAATTTTCGTAGCGCTTTTTAGAGGGTGTTTTACAGGGTGGCCACTGGCAGAATGATCTGATGCTAGTGCCGTCTTCTGGGCAGGGCTGTCTACTGATGTGGGCGGGATGCCTGGGCCACCAGTCAGAACTAAGGGAGGGCCATATTTTGAATTCGCCGATATAAGAAGAACGTGGCTGCCGGCTCCAAGACCTTGGGGTGGAACAATAAACCGGGTTCCATTTATCATGATCTGGGTGCCGGGTGCCAAAGGTGTACTGGTGTTGATGACGATTTTTTGCTGAATACAAGGTTCACTAAGCGGAGTCCCTGCCAGACTAGTGAGGTTTGAGGGTGCTGCTGTAGCAGTAGGGACGGCAGTGCCACCAGGTGCAGAAGTGTAACTGGGGGGGGATCTGACTGAGCATGGGGACACCTGCTGGCTTGACAGAGCAGCAAAATTGGCAATATTCATGACTTTCGCTGGACCTGGTGAAAGGGACGGCAACTCGGCTTGAGGTTTGTGTGTGTTGCCGTGTATTGGCACTGTGGTTGAGACCCCTGCTGGCAGACAGTGGACAGGAGTCCGACATTGCCTTTTACAGAGAGCGACAGTGTGTGAGGCTCCCGGGACCGCTGCCAGATGGGGAACTGTGCTGAGGACGGTAGGGGAGGCGGTCACAGGCGTAGGCAAGGCAACAGTAACCGGGATTTGCAAGGCTGATGTTAAACACTGAGGAGACACTGTTGGTTGGGGAGTGGAAATTAGAACAGATGATGCCAGATGGCCAGTTTTCACAGTTGATATAGCCACAGTGTTGCCGAGATTCGACGTGCAAAGTCTGCCTGACAGGAGAGGCAGCATTCGTGAAGAGGTATCGCTGCCACTGACCAAAACAGGAGGTCGCGTCCCAACAGCAGCACAGGTTGAGGTCACTGAAAGGGCACCCAGAGGTCCATTTGGTCCTGTTACTGAAAACACATTTACTGCTCTCGCTGCAGAACCCACAGACTCACTGGCAGGAGGGAGGTTCTGACTCCCCAGATTGGAGCTCACTGGCACTGAATTACCACTTGCTGACAAGGGCAGAATACTGTAGCCTTTGCTACTTTTTTCCTCTCCTTTGTGAGTGACATTTTGCACTAGGTTAATTGATGGGACGGCTGGCACACTGCCTGAAGCATTCACAATTGCCTGCCCTATGTTTAGTCCAATCTTCACATCTTTTCTCTGAGACACCGTTGGTGATGGGTTGATTTTTATTGGCGCTCCCACAGTGGAGGGAATGAGCACTAGCTGGGGTTGCTCTGGAGTTTTAATAAACGTTTTACTCAAGGGGGGAGGAAGAATCTGTTTTAGCGGTTCTGCAACAAGTGGGGCTGAGGTGCCGCTGGGAACCGGAGCATTAATAAACACTAGTTTCTGGGTAGAAACCCCGGAAGCTGCCAGAGCAGGTGGTACAGAGACTGCACTTCCGCTGCCCGAAGCCAGAACAGAGGGCGCCGACATCAGCATCAGCTTCGGGGCCGGAGCCCCACTGACCACATCCCCGTCTGTTGCAGCTGTTGCCTCTGGACGTGTAACGGGGTCATTTGGGGGGGTATAATCCACTTGCTGCTGTTGAGTTGGAGTCTTAACACCTGTGTTAGTTTGTCCACAATTTCCTGTTGCTATGCTAATTATGCTAACAGAGCCACTGGTTGTTGATGGTAGCAAAGGGCTAGAAGAAACAGAGGACTTCAAAGGAGAAGATGACATGGGTGTACTTTTGTCTATTAAGTTGCCCAGATGACCACTGCAAGGGGATTGGCCTAATGTAAGTTTGAGATTTTTCCCTACAGATGGATTGAAGGCAGCTGGAATGGAAACAGAAGCTGGTGTCTGGCCAAAGGGTGGGAGACTCGACGTAGGAGCTGTTCCAGTGACTGGAGAGAAAGTGGAGACTGCCGTTGTCGTTGACTTGGGCACCAGAAAAGCCTGAAGCTGAGGAGCAAGAGTGAATGCGGAACCTGAAGATAAGCAGCTGGGTGTGTTCGGCTCTGGATTGGTCTGTACTTTCACAACTCCAGTGTTCCCACCTCGTGTCCTAACAAGAATCGACTGGGAGTCTCTTATACACACAGTCTTCAGCTCTTGCTTTGCTTCAGAAGAATCGGCAGCTGGTTGTGCAAAACAGCTGAGGGAACTTCCAGGGTTTGTCGATCCACTTAGTGTCGTTGTCACTGGTAACAGAGGCTGAGCTGTTGGGGGAACGGCGGGTGAAGCAGCAGGCTGGGGGAATGTGGCTGCTGAAACTGCATTCTTGAGTTTTCCGGTCTCACTTGGGCCAGTCTTAAGTGGCGGTGTTAAATTACTTACGGAGGTTCCAGGTGACCAAGGCTGTGGTCTAGCACTACTTGTGTTGGATACAGGAGCCATCGTCTTCTTGAGGACTGTACTAGGTAGCTGGGGAGACACAGTGCCTGTCTGTGACACAGAGCTGACAAGAACCGAGGCTGCAGAAGAGCTTACATTTGCTGTCTGTGCGAGAGACGGACAGAGCTGCTCTGGAGCCTTTTGGTGAAGTGGGGTGATTTCTTTCGCAACTGCTTTTCCTTCCTTGTGCTGAATCACAAAATTCTTGGGCAGAATGAGAACCTGCTGCATGACCTTTTCTCCTGTTTTAGGGTCCACCACAGGCTGCATCTGCAGCTTCACAGAGCTGTTGTGGAGATCTACTGGCAACCACTGGCCACAGGGCATCTTGTAGACCATCTGCAAAGGGCCTTTTGGACTGGCATGGCAGGTTAACGCTGGCTTCATGGGGCTGGCTTCCAGAGGAGAGCGCACTGGCTTGTCCACCACAGGAGTGCTTCTCCCCATGGAAGGAGGCAGTTGGTTTGTTAAGGTCACTTTGTTCCCAATATTCTTTGCAAGCAAGGCCTGAATCGGTTTGGTCCCTTTCTGGAGAGTGGACACTGGTGTGGAATCCAGAGAGGCAAGTGACTCTGGCAAGGATAGTTCGATAGACTTCGAGTCATTCAGACACTCAACCTGTACATCACCTTCTGAGCTCACAACTGCTGTCTCGTTTGTGCTTAATTTTGCTTTCTTCCGTGGGGAAAGCTCTCTTGTGCTACAGTCCAGACAACTTGTTTGTTTGGATGGTCGTTTCAGTGTTTTAGGCGGCGTCTTCAGTCCATCTTTAGAAGGCAATTCCTTTTTCAGTGACTTGCTTCTGCCCATAGGAAAGTCTACTTCGGACAATTTCATATCATCTGAAAAGGATAAAAATAGGTGTTTTCGTTATATAAAACAGCAGCTACAGCAGCAACACGAAGACCAATCACTGATGCAACGGGAATCAGGTTCTGAGTTGGCAAGTTATTAGGATATCTACTCTTAGGTGAGTCTCAAGTCTCTGCAACACTGATGGAGACACAGTGTTTTGACATCATAAACATCCTAGTACGAATGAGAAATTGGCTTGGGGTCCAACTTGGGTAACTGTTTTCCTTGTTTGAGTGCACAAGGAAAATGCTCCCCTTTTAGAGAGCTATCAAGGAAGCAATTAGGGCTCAGAATTTAGATCAGCAAAGGGATTCTCATTTTCCCCTAGAAACAGAAACACTGACATCAAAGACATGTTCTCCATTTCAATCCATTTTTGGAGAATGAAAGGACAAAATGTCTACGATGAGAAGCTATCCTTTTTTAGTTCACCTAAAGGAGCTCTGGTAGCGTAGTGGTTACGAATCGGGCTGCAAACCTTAAGGTCAGCGGTTCGAAACTACCAGCCGCTCCGCGGGAGAAAGATGAGGCTTTCTACTCCCGTAAGGATTTACACCCTCGGAAACCCTGTAAAGGGTCGCTATGGGTAGGAACCGACTCGACAGCACTTAACAACAACAACAAAGGAGCTCTGGTAGCGTAATGGTTATGAATCGGGCTGCAAACCACCAGGTCAGTAGTTCGAAACTACCAGCTGTTCCGCAGGAGAAAGATGAGGCTTTCTGCTCCCATAAAGATTTACAGCCTCGGAAACCCTGTACAGGGTCGCTATGGGTCGGAACCGACTCCATAGCACATAACGACCACCACCACTAAAGGAGCACAGGTAGCATAGTGGTTATGAAATCGGGCTACTAACCTCAGGGTCAGCAGTTTGAAACTACCAGTTGTTCCATGGGAGAAAGATGAGGCTCCCTGCTCCTATAAAGATTTACAGCCTGGGAAACCCTGTACAGGGTCGCTATGAGTCAGAACCGACTCGACGGCACATAACCACCACCAAGACGGATAAATTACAGGTTCATATGAGAGGGCTTCACAAAGTTCATAGAAAAATGGAATGAAAAGATAATGGAACTTTTTTTTTTATACTCAACAAATTGTATACTTTGCTAATATTATATGGCTGCAGTTCCCTCCCTGCACCAACAGTTCACAGCATTGACCTCTATTCACTCCAACCACTGCATTCCTCTCTGTGTCTCCCATCAACCCATCTGTTCTCTGCCAACCCTCCATTCAGTTGTATATAGCCTGCCCTGTCACCCCATGTCAACACACGTCTACCTTCTAGCACATGTGTGTGTATCTATCTATCTATCTATCTATCTATCTATCTATCTATCTATCTATCTATCTATCTATACCACACAGGGACATATAATCATTTAAACAATCACAGTGCATGATAATGGACTTTCTGAAGCTCCCTCGTGCACTTGTAGCCTAAAACTTTTAACATTAAAACCCCTTATGTAAGTAAAGATTTTTAAACTAGGTTTATAAAAAGTAAGCACTGTACTGCAAGTTGATTTGAACCTCAAAGTCGGTGATTCAAACTTACCAGCTGCTCTTTGGAAACCCTACACAGGGTCACTGTGAGTCAGAACTGACTCGACAGCCCTTAACAACAATCGACAATACAGTCTGATGAGTTGAAATAAATTGCAGACAAACTAATTCAATCTATTATCCGTATTAGAACGAAGTGTCCCCTATGGTCTTGTTAGGCCATCAATCTTCACTAAAAAACAAAGACATAATAAAAAACAAAACAAAAAAACCCAAATGTCACAGTTATCAGGGATGTGTCAAGTTTCATTTACAGTAGTGTTTAGACTTGAAGAATAAAAAGAAGAGGCTAGACAACTTCCAAGGGCTGTAGAGCACGGAGGAGAGGTCTGTGAAGAGCACCCACCCTGACTCCAGAAATAACCTGAAATCACGGCTCCCAAGAAACTCTCTCTTATGAACGTGATATACCTTCCCCACCTACTTCTCCAGGCGGTACACTTCAGGGACGAGACTACCCTTTACCTACACACCTAGAAACATCGTGGACCCACCGAAATCCAGGTGGTCTTGCTCCAGGATATCGAGAGGTTCCGCTGAGTCCACTGACGTGCTGACTTCTACTTGAGGAGAAGCTTCTCCAGGTTCTCCTCCAGCTTCTTCACTCGGCCACAGCTCTCTGGTAAATAGATCATGGTCAGGCTGTTTTCTGTAATCATCATAGTCTTTCTTTAGGCGGCTCCTGGAATAAAACGCCAATATAACAAGAATACAGATGTAGTCAACTCTTGGAAGCTAACCTAACTTTCAACAGCTACTCCTTATGTTTTGACATTTCGCATTTATAACAGTAGCTTAAAAATCTGTCTGATTATGGTGCACATTAACAATCTTTGTCTGGCAGTAACAACTATTGAGGTGTAAGGAGAGGAACGCTGGCTGTGATGGTTATGGCTAGATGCCAACAGGGCTGGGTCATGGCTCTCAGTGGTTTGGTGGTTATGTGATGGTTAATCTTCCTCTTTTTGTGATCTGACATGGTCATCCTCTATTTTTGCATTTTGTGAATTGATAAAACCATTGTCTATGTTTGCATACTGCCGATTTTCACACAACATCCTGTTCTCTGGAATGTCACCATGGCAATAAATGTGGAATGGGTGCACATTGAATATTTTTAGTTACATCACTGAAACTAGGCTTTGATCTCAAATGGGCCTGAAATGATGAACAGTCTTGCCAATGACAGATTCGTCTCTCAAGAAAACAAAATCCAGGGTGTAGTCAGGAGAAACGTGAAAGGTTATTTCTGAAATTTCATAATAAAGTGTTTGATCATATAGACTACTTGTTTGTCTTTCTAAACGCTGCTGTTAGACTTATAAAATGAGAGGTAATTTCTTCCCCAACAGTACTGACATAAAAAGTTTTAAAAATAGTCTAGATTATATAATACAGTTTAAGTTATTCAATTAAAAATTAATTAAATTCTAATGACATAGTACTATTATATATTTTTTACATTATGCAGATAGTCATAAATCAATCAGCCCACCAACTAACCACTGAATTCTGAGAGGAATGATATATAAACCTTTTAGTATCACTAGAAATATTTACTTTTTCAAATCTAAAATAATTCATTATTTACTTCCAATTATTTTTACCAATATAAAAAAGTTTCTTTTGCTGTTGATGCTGAGAATATACACAGCAAAACCCAGCGCTGACACCTGGCCGACTCGGACTGTGTCCTAGAGCTGCGCAGTCGTTCTCACCTCTCTCCTCTCAGCTGTTCCTTCCTGTTAGCATCACTGCACTGTCCCCAGGATCCCTGGTGTGGCATGGCACCAGCACTGGATTACTGACCACAACGGTGGCGATTTAAACCCTATACAGCATCACTAGGAGTCGGAGCTGACTCAACAGCACTTGACAACAACAAAAGCTGCTACCTAATCTGCTGAGTTGCTATTGGCACTTGGGCCCCAAATAGTTAAGTTCTTAAATGGCTGTGGTGCTCAGGACAGACATATATGACTAACTAAGCTACTGTTTAAGGGTTAGAGATGATCTCAGGATGACAGTCTCAGGGCTTCCACCAGTATCCAGGGCTCCAGAGAGGCCCTGCACCCTTCCACCACCGACTCCTGTCTCTGGCCCTGCCCCTCCTCAGTCTCTCTGCTCTGGTCACATGTGCTTTCCTCTCAGTGTCAAATACGCTCCAACCAGGGGCTTCAGGCTCTGTTTTTCCCTCAGGAATCCTTAGGGCTTAGTCTCCCACCACCTTCAAATTGACACCCTGCCCACACCTGGCTTCCCATTTTCTCCACAGCATGTATCCCACCTGACATTTGAGCTCGTCTTCCCTCCACTGGGATGTAAACTACGACATGGCTTTCTCCCGGCTTAGGAAGTGCTATGGGCACGGTGGGCACTCAGGAGTATCTGTGCAATTACCGACGCCTGGGAAATCTCTCCAGGAGCCCATGGCATCTTCCTATAATCACAAACTAAGAGACCTAAGCCTAAGTAAGGAGTGCGGTGGCTCCATACCATAAGCACGAGAATGCAAACCACAAGGCTGCCTGTTCCAGTCCACCAGCCACTTTGTGGAAGAAAGGCTGAGACTCTGCGTTCCCATGAAGACATACAGCCTCGGAAACCCTACACAGGGTCGCTGTGAGTCAGTACGCACTAGACAGCATTTAACAACAACAAGCCTAAATAAAACAGGATCCAAAGCTTGGATTACCTGTTTCTTTGAAAGGCCTTCATTAACTTTGGTTCCCATGGCAGCAGTTCATTTAAAAGACGGGTCAATGTGCTATGTAGTTCTTTTACAGCTTGCCTCCGGTGATACCATTTACCCTGAAAATAGAATTTACAAAATAAATCCCTTAGATTTAAGTTTTTTTAAATGTTAATTCTTATTTTTGGAGTGAAAAACAAACCAAAAACCCAACAACCCATTCAATATTTCTTTTTCAGAAGGTTACAGAAATGGGGGAACATCCTGTAGTAAGTCCAATTCAATATAGTATATAGGTGTTCAATTCTAAAGGAAGACTCTGAAATACAGCTCATCAAACTGGGAGACAAGTATGTTTTAGTTTTTAAAACTGGGTCAATTACAAAGTGTTTTAATAAAGCATTGACCAAATACATGTACATATAAAAAGCATTTCTATAAATTCATACACATTCTATAACTGTACAGATGACATTGCTTACTTCTGTCATGTTTTTGTCATTTTCTCACAGACTGGGAAGAGGTGGGGAGAAAAGCTAGGTTTATTATCATTATCCCTAAGCAGTCTTCTTAACAAACAAAACTTCCTGAGGAAATTTTACAATGATTTTGTTTAAAACACGAGTAGCACAGAAAAACCACCTAAACAAGCATCATTTAAAATACTGTAATGCCAAACTAAGATTAATAAATGATATATGGTCATGTGACTTTAAACCAGATCTGCCTGATTCTGAACTCCAGGCTCTTAGAACCAGCTCACTAGCTCTTAAAACCAGTATCACGGGTATCATAAAAACCTCTGGTCCAAACACACCTCACCAGTACCATTACGACTACCATCGGTATTGTCTAAGTTGATAGGCACAGTAACTTATACCTCTGGGCAGTCAACCCTCCTTCCCCAAAAGGTTAATGTGTGCCTACTATCACTACCATCTTACTAAGTCACTTTACAACGCCTGCTTGCTCTCTCTTTCTCCTCCTTTCTTTCTTTCTTAACAGCTTTGAGATGTGATTCACATGGCATATAATTGACTGTTTTATTTCTGTTATAACAAAAGACACAAAACCATGTGTTATAGATCACATTGAACAAGTATCAAATGAGACTTGATCCCAAAGCAACGGCTAAGTCAGAAACATATCACCACCTAGAGCAAACAGAATTCTAAATAAGTGTATAAATGCCCCAATTTTACATTGAAAATACCTCTGTTTTGGTCATGGAAATTTTAGTCACATATAACCTAAGTGATTACCGGTTTAAGTTTAAAAGTCAATTTTGTGCTCTGAACCATCGGAACGCCCAGCATATCAAACTACAGAGGTACATTTCTACCACTCAGGTTTTACAACTTGGAAGGGGAACTGTTAGTTGGAAACCTAGTAGAAGATGTGGGAATCACTGTGCGTGTGCACATACTGAACACGGAACACAAGTGACTCTTGTGTCTTCTTAGTAGCATGACAACACAGAGTTAGCATGAAAAAAAAAATTCAAGATAATATTCATTTCATTTTCTTGAAATCAGATAAGACTTACTTTTTATGAAATGCTTTCTAAAATTATACACAAGACCTAATGTAACAGTTAAGTACAGTAAACAGTTATTTACTAAAAAAAGAACAAAAAAACATGTTATAAAATAGTATAAGCTTACTGTAACCCATGAAAACAAAATTGGTAAATTCGTAAAGAACAAAACCCACTAAGAACCATCTTCATCCAGGGGAATGCAAACTTCAATTGAGAAAGATGAAAAGGCCTCCCCAATCCTTTGTGAAATGAGGGTTTTGTGTTACTATAATGGAGGTTATTTCCCTTGAACAGACTATTTTCCTATCTCTCAACTATTCCTTCTTCAAACAAGGCAAGGGTGAGCGTGGTGGCACACATCCCCGAAGTGAAAACCAGCAGGCAGAAAGCAGGAAAGTATAAGGAAAGAAGGCGAGATGAAAACCCTCTCTTGGTGGTAGCATGAACTGCAATGTGTTATAAGATATGGAAAGGAGCTCTGGTAGCATAGTGGTTGCAAGTCGGGCTGCTAACCTCATGGTTAGCAGTTCGAAACTACCAGGCATTCCGCATTGAGAAAGATGAGGTTTTCTACTCCCCTAATGATTTACAGCCTTGGAAGCCCTATACACAGTCACCATAAGTCAGAACCGACTCCACAGCACACCACCACCACCACCACCACCACAAGGCTACGGAAGGAGCCCCTCAGCCCTGGTGGTGTAGTGGGTTATGAGCTGGGCTGCTAAACACAATGTCAGCAATTCGAATCTACCAGCCACTCTTCGGGAGAAAGATGAGGCTTTCTGCTCTAGTAAAGATTTATCGCCACGGAAGCCTTATATAGGATTCACAACCACCGTTAAGACTAGGGACTATCAGTCATGTTGAACGCCTCCAACTGGAGCTTCTAAAGAGAAATATGCCAGCTCCAGAATTAGCTAGGCAAACAGGAGTTCTGTCTGGATCAGGCTGATGGTGCTGGGGTCGAGGATGCAGAAGGGTTAGGGGGCAGAAAACTGGGTAGGTGTGGAAGAGAGAAGAGATTGTGTGCTGTTCTGAGACATCTGCCAGTTGTAACAGGGTCTCTACTAAAACACAATCTCGTTTTGTGTAGAAAGGTGTTGTGAAGATTATATCTTTTGAAATTATTTTCATTACTGATTTTTAATGAGCTCAATGCCCAGAAACATACTTCTGAACTAGTCAACTGTGTACAAAGAAGAAGCTTTAAATATTTATCAGAGAGTAGGTTTCGACCTTCCATCTAACTATTTTACCACTTACCCTGGCAACAAATGCTTACGATCTTCTAACTTTACATTTATTCTGGGCTTCTTTCCTTTCTTTGTAATAGATATTTTCAACTTAGAATGGTGGTGGTGATTTGATATTTCATTTATAGTTGGAGGGTCCATATTTACCACTTTTGTATTTGGAAAACAAACCACAAAGTCTATTATTTTAATAAAGCAAATTAATGAAAGTACAGATTAATAAAATGGTTTGACAAGAATATTCACATAACATACACAATGAGCCCAGTCACGGGACATGCACATTCGCTGGTTTTGTCTATCCAAAGGGGCCTAGATTTCACAGACATGGAGAACACTAGGAAGCTGGGACTGCTATTGTTTTTAACCTCGTGGCACTAAAAGGCAAACTCACACTGCTTGTTTCACATCTCATTGTCTTTGATCAAAATGTGACAACCCAAATGGAATTATAGTAATAAGAGCATGTCCCTTTCTTGCTAGCAGTCGTCTCAGAGTTTGAGTATACAACAGAACTGATGTAAAGAGAAAAAAAGTTCTATATTTAAAAAAAGAAATTAGTCAGAGATGGTGGCAATTTCCCTTACCTTGAGGTTTAACTTAAAAAAAAAAAAAAGATTTAAAATCAAATAAATACTTAGGACTCCAGAACGCTTCCACTACACTTAAATACAGGTAATTCCTAAATACTACACTGCCTATACTGGGAAGGAGTCCTGGGGTGGCACCATATGATAAGCACTGGACTGCTCACTACAAGGTTGGTGATTCACACCCACCAGCTGCTCCTTGGAAACCCTACACAGGATCGCTATGAGTCAGAACTTGACTCCATAGTACTTAACTCACAACAAACTAGGTCAATGGCAGCATGTTTACATGTAGGTATCTCTGTAATATGGCGCTGGTGGCGGCTGTGGATTTGGTTCCTATTCATAGCGACCCCGTACAGGGTTTCTGAGGCTGTAAATCTTTTTTTTACGTTTTATTGTGAATCATGTGATAGTTTACATGGGAGAACATTAGCTTTACAGTCATCCTATCATATATCATTTCCTTGCCATGGTTAACAATTCTCTCCATGCATCATCAAACAACCAAAGGGTATACCCTGCAAGCCTGCCCCCGGTTGTCAGCACATAGCCCCTCTCCCTCTCTGTGTCTAAAGTCCCCAACTGCTCCATCTCACCACATCATTATCTCTGCTTCCATCTCAGATATCACTGCTTCTCTGGGTAGGGTCCCGCTCTCCACTCTTCTCCCTTGGTGGTCTCAGGGACCTCCGCTCCTAGACTGCAAAGTTAATCACTCCCCTCCTTGCTACAAAATGTCTACCTGTACATTCTCAACCCTCACAATCAGTCCTGATAATAATTATTCACTATTGTATCACAAGAGACCTATCCACATCTCCTTTCATCAGCCCCGCCTAGACAGACTGGATACTACTCAGTGGAGATTCTACCTTCCTCCATGTCCTCTGGATCTAGTTTTCCTCTTGAAAGCTTGTAAGCCAGTCACTTCTTGCCTTTGTAGTCCCTGCCCCATTTTGGGTAGCCAATGTCCAAGCTGCCCATCTCTGTCTACTCTGTGTATGGAGCGGGTGGGAATGATCCTTGCTGTGAAGATTTATTCCCTCTTTTGAGCTACTGCATCCATAGGTGTAGGTCAAGTTCATCAAATTGTATCAGATTACTCTTTTTTTCCTCTTCTTTCTTC